GTATTTGTGGTGTATATGAGGGTATTTGTGGTGCTATGAGGTATTTGTGGTGTATATGAGAGGTATTTGTGGTGTCTATGAGGGTATTTGTGGTGTATATGAGGGTATTTGTGGTGTATATGAGGGTATTTGTGGTGTATATGAGAGTATTTGTGGTGTATATGAGGGTATTTGTGGTGTATATGAGGGTATTGGGGTATAGAAGGCAATGATGATGGTCTCAAATAACATTTTTTGGAAGTGAACGTGATTCAGTTCGCAGCAAGGCTTTATCCTCTTGTTTCAGAACGAGACTGTCGAGTTTGTGTAAACTGGTCGGGTGGGAGGGGGTGTTGTATTTGTAGTCAATGTATCTATTAGATTTATCTAACAGTACATTTCAGGATTATAATCCAATATGGAATAACTGTAAGATTAGCAGTATAAATAAATTAAGAAAACCGTCACTGGGTGGTAAAATTACAATTTTAGGCGCTTTGTGTGACACTGAGTCTCAAGTTGTATGCATGTATGTATATCCCTTCCCGTGATTTCTCATGTATTTCCATTCCCATTTTTGGCTCTACATTTTTTTCTTTTCTGAATCACTATGAAAATATATTCTCAGCTCTTCACTTTAAGCTGAGGCTATAATACTTATTGTTGGCTTGAACACACACTTTTATGTCAAACTATGTATATAATTAATTGTTGTTTTTTTGTAAAAAAATATAATTCTTTCATCTCATATGTCACTAAGAAAATGTAGATATTGAGATATTTCCGTGGCACTGAAAAACGACATTGTATCCCAGTCCCTCTAGGGACTGTACTTGTATGTATGCCAACTTTCTCCGAACTGCGTACAGTGACCATATATGTAAAACAAACATTTATTGTTATTTTTGTTTACTTTTAGATTTGGATTTAGTAGCACTAATAATTGTTCTTACGTCATCGTTTACCCGATGTCAGATGGTCTGTCCATCTGGATATACAGTTTCAAGTTGGCATGGCAACGGGTGTGTGGGTAAGTAGTACATAAACTAAATTACTGTAACTGGTGAAGCCGTTCCGTTTATTAATGAGCGTGGTCTTTGTTTTGATGGATTTCTATTGTATATCCGGGGTCGCGTTGAGACTAACCCGAGGCAACGGAGCATCGGCTGTGAGTTCAAGTTGAAATCACTGCCATGCCAAGCACGCAGGGGATATCAACAAGCGAGCCAATAGGCCACTAACGCGTGCCTGCTAACAATGACGTTACAGCACCACATACTAACAACGACACATGTAAACACTGCATGCATGAAATCCAATTCACGTCGGCATCTTAACTACATTCTGACAGTCTTACACTGACGATAAATGAACAAAGTACATCTAAGTTGTCAATATAAATTTGTAAGTGACAATTAAAGATCACCATAGCGTAAGTAAACCGTCACGATCGATTGAAGCCAAATCAGATCGGATTTAACTATTCATTGCATACAACTCGAGACACTCACAGATTGGGAAATAGACAGGTGACTTGTACTGGAATTGGCCATATAGACCGTTTTTATGTGTGTTTTTTGCTTTCTTCATCGACGTGTGGCAACATAGGGTAATTACTCTTCTTGTCAAGGAGATTAAACAACATCGTCTTTTTGTACTCCATCGCCAGATAGCTGCACATGTGTAAATACCGTGTTGTCGACCCGTTCTCGAGTGTCACTATCATTGATATCATTACTGCTGACGATGGCTAGCTTGGACTGCATTCGTGATTGAGAATGTAATTCTGTTTACATACGTTCGTTCGTATGGCAGACTGTTTCTTACTTTTCCTTGCAAAACTGTTACGGAATCCGGCATAACCAGACGGTCTAGACATTATCAGCTAATGTCATCAAAATTATCAGGGATTATCATAAATGTATTTTTGGCCGTAGCTGGTTTCCGTGGTATTAGTTTTCGTGAACTGGAAGTCAACCCTCTCTCCGGTCCCTGTCAGCTCCAATGTCTGGTAAACCGTTGCGTCTTCCCTCCCCTCTCTCCCCCAGTGAGCCAATTGATTTCTCACTCTTCAGTGTAGCACCACTTAATTACAAACACATCGGTTTTAGATTCGGTCACTTAAATCGCGTGGAATTGATTATTTAACGCCTCGGGCGGCATTCCTTTCAACCTATAGAACGTGTGGTTTTGAATACAAAACTCACGGACTTAACTTTGAAGGACCGTACGTCTTAATTAGCATGAGTGTACAGAAGATGTGTAAAATCGGTCCAAAACCGGGTCTGTTTACATATACAATGGCTAATATTAAAGGTACTAGTATTAAACTCGTATAAGAGAATTCACCGTAAGTCGCGCCCCCTAGTGACAAAGCGCTACCGTGGGGTATAAGGGTGTAGAGGATGCCGCTCACACATCAATATTGTTTTGGTCCGACGTCAATACAGATCACAATGTTTGAGAGATTTGACATTTTCCAAATAATGAACGAACTACACAAGCAAACATGGTTGTATATTTGAACAATGCTGCTAACACCATCACGTCTTCGAAACGTTCTTTGCTAGAGGGCGTCATTAAGGAACGCGTATTGACGTTGGCTGAAAGCGTGTGAGAATGCCAGAGACGGGGAGAATGATTTCCCTCAAAGATGGCGTACCTTTACAATGACATAATTAACGAATTGTATTCTGGTATATTAGCCGAGTACCCGTCAACTCTGTGAGAATAGCGATTTGGCAACAACTGTATTATATCGATTTATAACTTAAAGGGCTGTGGTCGTCACGCCGCGTCCTGTTCGATATGGGACTCCTAGCGACGTATACAACGCGTGTAAAATACATTGTTTATTTACATGAAATTCGAACACGAGCTGCGCGACGACTACCGCGCTTAAATTATCAATAATTATATCTGAGTAAGTTGGAGAGCTCAGTCTCTATTTACAACCAGTTCAACCCGGTGGTCCATATTCAAGAGAATCTCTGTACTCTACTACAATTCAATGGAGAAATACCATTGTTAGTATCCTTTCAGCGCGCAATGCTTTCAACCCCTGTGAACTCAGCTGTCCGCGAAATTCAGAGGACTATTTACAATCAACGTATTCGTTCACTTCTGGATATATTTACGTAAACTCAATATTTAAGTTGTACAATCTACATCAAAACATGATGTATAGTATTCCCAGAACTATGAAGAACCCACAACTATGCCTTCCCGATCCGGGTATTTTCTGAGGGTATTTGTCCAGGAGTTCTATAACACAATAATATTCAATATTATACCTCCAATGCGTATTATGTTAAAGTGGGTTATAACTTTGATGATCTGTACACAAGAAAGTACTGAGATGTCTGACCTTTAGAATCAATCAACATGCCTATTCAAAATAAATTAATTTTATAATGACATGATATTAGGTCAAACTTAGGTTGCAATAGTTATTATACGCTGATTGTATTACTAGATATGCAACAAAGTTATAATAACGAAAATCAAAAAAGATTCACTGCAAAGTCATAAATGACGAGAAAAATGTGAATGATTTGGACAGTATTCTAACTGATCTCCGTCCCCTACCAGGCTTTCTAATTGTCACTCCCTTAGACACGTTGTAACCATAGCAACTTGACAGTGTGCTCGTCTTCACGTGACGTATGTGAGATCGATTGAAATTAATCTCGTACAACACTGAGATGAAATCAAGTTACCTGTTCCTAAAACGAAAACACAAACAAAGGTCCCAATTTGTTATGACGACCCAGGAATAAATTATCAAGTTTAAATATATAGTATAGTATATTTTAGTATATTTTATTTGACTAAAATTAATGAATTGGAAATAAAAAAAGAGCATGCATTTCATCACCAACAAACTGACTGATCAGAACACAGTGTGCAAAATCTTTGCACTGAGGGTATTTTTTGGTATCTTAATTTTTCAATTGGTAATATATATATTTAGTTTATATACTGATCGCGTCAATCATAAATTGTCTTATGTTGTTTACGTCATTTGTTATTGTTCTGAGTATTCAGATGAGTAATATAAGATGGGAGCGTGTAAAGAGAGCGTGTACATTTCTGAAATGAACATATAACCGATAATAAAAAACAAGCGCTACTTGGCGCGTGACTCTGATCATTTGTTGTTGTTCTGAGCAATATCAGCATGCAACGGGATATGCTGCTGAACTATTTCCCTTCGGGAATTAATTAGTCACGTGTTCAATGCAATGTGTCACAAATAAAGTGGAAACCATTATGTGAATATCCAATCACTGACTTGCTGCGTCAGGTAATCGCTGTCCTTCCGAGCAAAACTAGTTATAGTGCGCCCTCTCTCGGCGAACAGGGGGAATTACTAGTGAAAACAAGACGGAGATTTACAGCCCCCCCCCCCAATTTTAGAGGTTGGAACTTTGGGTCACTTCTACCGTAACCATCAGGGACATCAGGTTACCTCAGATTCAAGAAACACGAATGTGAAGGATCACGTTCAAGTTGAGGTGACCACGGGACGGCATATTACGGTCCTGGGTCACGGTCTCACCGCGACCTCGGTTGCAGATAAAACGTCTGAGCACATGGACGTTTTCGTTTGTTTCAAATTTATTGATTTTCAAATATATCAATATCTGTTTGTATCCCAGACACGGATGAATGCCATGAAGGTGGACTCGGACAGTGTTCTCAAATGTGCACAAACACACAAGGATCTTTCAGGTGTTCGTGTTACCATGGTTACTCAATCGACAATGATGGCTGGACATGTCATGCTGATGGTAAGTTGACATTATTCATTCATTATTGGTACAATACATAGTTAGGTTTGAGTAAAAAAAAAAATATTTTTTAAAATATTTTGTTATTTAAAAAATTCGTACTTATTCTTTCTGTATAGGTCCTCCCTTTTATTTAATATTCAGTCAAGGAACAGAAATATTTAAATTGCAGCCTGAAGGGATAGATCATAGGTCATTGTTACAGGAGCTTGGCAATGCTGTTGCTATTGACTACCACTATCAGTACAACAGCATTTTTTGGGTTGACACCACTGAGAATATACTGTACAAAGCTTCTTTGGAGGGCACTCATAGACAGGTAGGTACTCAAATATCAACTCGGAACTATTTTTGTGATGACTTTAAAGGGAAAGGGTAGTCATCAGTGCATGCACAGAAATTGAGTCCTATGTGATGATAACAGTTCACGCTAAAAACGCAAAGGCTTATTGGTAGACACTTGTTTGGAAATAATGACATACTATGGCCTCTGTCACATGCACAGGTTACGACACCCCGCTTTAATATACATCTAGCATAAAATTTATCTTTCTCTGAAACACACTGTATTTGTTTTCATTTCAACGTTCAAATTTTCCCTTATATAGGTTAAACTCTACGTTACCAATATTGACGTTCCAGGTTATTGACGTTAAATTCAAATTTTGTTTTCATTGGACGCAGTAGTTCGCTTAGCATAGCAAATTTATGATTCTTATTTTTCATTGAGGTATTTCTTCAAGAGATCATAATAATAAAGTTATCATGTGAATGCCTCAAAGTATGGCCAAGTTACTGTAAAATACTTTATTTTCGCTGAAAAGGCTTTTTTGGAGTTTTGTATGGAATTTATTTTCGCTGAATTTTGATGAGTTGAATATAAAATATAGGAAAAACGGTATCTTCGCTGGATTTCACTGAATCAGCCCTTCAGTGAAAATAGCGAAAATAAATTCCAAGCGTAATTTTACAGTACTTAAGTATTATGTTTTTTAAGTGTTATGGTTGCATGCCTTTCAATACAGTAAATATGGTGGTTTATTACATCATTGTGTTGTTGCTAGGCAATGTTAAAGCTTGGTGATACTACAGTGGTTGGCTTGGCAGTGGATTGGATACATGATTACCTGTACTGGACAGATGCTGAAAATAATAATGTTGAAATGAGTGCATTGGATGGAAGTCATCGCCAAACTGTTGTACATCTATCAGCTCTCACACCAAGAAGTATTGCTGTGAATCCAATTGATGGGTGAGCTAAATAATAGAATAGAATAGAATAGAATAGAATAGAATAGAATAGAATAGAATAGAATAGAATAGAATAGAATAGAATAGATTGGAATAGAATGGAATGAATAGAATAGAATAGAATAGAATAGAATAGAATAGAATAGAATAGAATAGAATAGAATAGAATAGAATAGAATAGAATAAAATAGAATAGAATAGAATAGAATGGATTGGATAGAATGGAATGGAATGGAATGGATAGAATAGAATAGAATAGAATAGAATAGAATAGAATAGAATAGAATAGAATAGAATAGAATAGAATAGAATGGAATGGATAGAATAGAATAGAATAGAATAGAATAGGATATTCAATTGATGGGTGAGCTAAATAATAGAATAGAATAGAATAGAATAGAATAGAATAGAATAGAATAGAATAGAATAGAATAGAATAGAATAGAATAGAATAGAATAGAATAGAATGGATAGAATAGAATAGGATATTCAATTGATGGGTGAGCTAAATAATAGAATAGATTAGAATAGAATAGAATAGAATAGAATGGAATGGAATGGATAGAATAGAATAGAATAGGATAGATAGAATAGAATAGAATAGGATAGAATGGATAGAATAGAATAGAATAGAATAGAATGGAATGGATAGAATAGAATAGAATAGAATAGAATAGAATAGAATAGAATAGAATAGAATGGATTAGATAGAATGGAATGGAATGGATAGAATAGAATAGAATAGAATAGAATGGAATGAATAGAATAGAATAGAATAGGATAGAATGGATAGAATAGAATAGAATAGAATTGAATAGAATAGAATAGAATAGAATAGAATGGATTGGATAGAATGGAATGGATAGAATAGAATAGAATAGAATAGAATAGAATAGAACCATATTAGTTTACAATGTACATGTGTTAATATAAACATCATGTTTACTTTTATAGATGGCTATACTGGACTAGCTGGGGAGCGTCATCAAGAATTATCCGAAGTCGTCTAGATGGTTCAGATATAACACCTCTAGTGTTCAGTTCCATCATACAACCAAATGGGTTGACATTAGATTTCGTAGATGAGCGACTTTATTGGGTAGATAACGGTACACGCACACTGGAGTCTTGTCACTGGAATGGCACAGATAGGAGGCTCATTTTGCATACAGCTGAGTAAGTTATTGTTTGTGGGATTCCAGGTATAGGAGAATTCTACCTTAGTTGTTACTTTACAATGGTATGTCTGGTATGCATGGAATGTCTAGAATGTGTGGAATGTGTAGAATGTTCATTTCAGCAGGGAGGAATGCATGGTTCCAGTTGAAATGGGTATTTGCCACATTTATTTTGACAAAATTGAGATTAACAAAATTGTACTAATTATGCAAAAAAAGGCATATGATGAAGCCATATGTGACCTCGCTATCCCCTTCATTTTGACAAATCAGAGACCTCATTTTATATTGACTTAAATGTTCAGTGATGCAGTGTTTTTATATGTACTGGATACTTACTTGAATCAATAAATAGGCACAGACGATGAGTTATTTTTGATGCTCCAACTAAACTTTATTTGCCACTAAAATTAACACTCAGTTATCTGTATACCATAAAAACATTTGAATAATTTTTTTGAAAAATAATTCATTTTACGTTGTACGTTGAAATTTAGGAGTAAAAATCAGTGGTTGCAAAAAACTACATTGTGCATCTTTTATTGTCATAAAAGCATCATTTTCATCAATCGCAATCTTTTGCAAATTTTCATGGTCAAAAAATAAAACCGATTACAAATACAGTCACTTGAAATTGTAGAACCAATAAATTATGAAAATCGACTAAATAATTAGGTGTTTGAATTTTTAGAGCAAGTAAAATTTGAAAGTTTTTACAGTACTTTTCAGAATTCCATTTTGTGATTTTCTTTCCAGACATCAACCGTTCGCCGTTACAACTTTCCTGAGTCATATCTACTGGACAGATTGGAATAGTAACTCCTTGACAAGAGCCACCAAGTACAATGGCGAGGACATTGTCGGCATTAGTACAAATCATCTGATAAGTCCTCCTATCGATGTTAAAATTGTACATCCATATCGGCAGCCATGGTCCACACCAATAGGTAGGCCATGCAGTGACATTCCTCCTTATAAATACATACTCATTGCACTGTGCAGACCTAGTCATATATCAATACAAAAGAAAAGTTATATCACATTATGAAAACAACAGGCTACGTGCTGTTGGAACTTTCCAGAACAGTGTAACATGATTACATGTGCAACATATATGAATTTGGTTGTTCAGATTGTCTCATAGTTGAGTTTGTGCTGTTTTTTCAACTTTAGTTGTTTTCACCGACTCTTTGACCGTCGCTCCACATCAGCTCGCGTATATCCCACAGAAATACATGCATCATAGCAACATAGAACATTCTGTGATGTAGCTCCACCGAAAAATAATTTGAGATGCACTTCTAAAAGAGCAAAGATTCTAACTGTTTGTGGTCAATGCATGAAACAATGTAGTCTAGATATACAGTTGAGTCAAAGATTATATACAAGGCAAAATTTGATTTGCTGAAAACAACAGTCAACAAACAAGCTGCTCCCTGATTGGTCTGATTGTTACATGTTCGGGTAGCCAATCAGACACAATCTTGTACTAAGCAACTTTAGATCTGAAATGGTTAGAAGCTACATGTAGGAACTACCGGTATATCAATGTTCTGTGTACATAGGGTAAAAGGTGATGAAGAATCTCGCCTGACTTGTTTAAGTCACGCGAATTGAGTGACAAATCAGAAGACAAATGTACATTCCTAGAAATACTAAATCACAAATGTCAACTGTGTATATTTTGGAGGAAATAGAAGAGAAATTCCTATTGATAGTGAATGTTTACCTCCATAAAGTACCAGGATGTATGACCTGTAGGGGTCATGCAAAATACCAGGATATGTGACCTTTAGAGGTCATGCAAAGTACCAGGATGTATGACCTTTAGGGGTCATGCAAAGTACCAGGATGTATGACCTTTAGGAGTCATGCAAAGTACCAGGATGTATGACCTTCAGGGGTCATGCAAAGTACCAGGATTTATGACTTTCATGGGTCATGCATAGGGATATAAGTAATTAAATGGTGTATTTTCTTTATAATCTCAGACGGAGACTGCAATAGTACGGAATGTAGTGAGCCCAAGCCTCTGCCTGATCGACCATTTGTTGTCTTTAGCAATAAAAATGATTTAAGAAGAATGAATTTTGATGGTACCGACTATCGACATATATTACAAAATGGGATGAAAAATGTATTGACGTTAGATTACGACCCGATCGGTAAGTATCAACTGAGATATTATGTTTGAAAATTCCACTAGATTGGATGGGTATTACTAAATTAACTAATAGTGATTCAAGTAAATTTACTTGGTGTTTTTGATTTATTTAGTATTTACCCTGGTAAGTAATATAATTTGCTAATCTCGGTTTCACATATCCCACTTTAGGTAAGTTATATCCTCTAATTTGGGTTATATCAAATTATATTGCCTGCTCAATTCTTGATCAAATAACTTACTTCGTATATTGATCAGAATTTTGTGTTCCCTTAAAAATTTGCACACATTGTTTTTGAATTTGTTTAATGTTTAGTTTATTTCCATCAATATTACATCATTATCCTCTTCTAATATAACTCTTTAGGTGAAATATCTGTTCGATATTGATCTATTGGGAAATCATCATTTTAATATTGCATATTAGTCGAAATAATTTTTTTGAATTTGCCCTCTAGGTTGAATCATCTTTTTGATATTGCCCTCTACTAAATGAAATAATATTTTTTGATGTTGTTCTCTAGGTAAAATGTTGTACTTTGCTGATGCTGATTTTAATAAGATTGAGAGAGTTTCCGTTGATGGATCATTACGTGACCTTGTAATAGCCCATGACTTGAGTGTTGTAGAAGGCTTGGCTGTAGACTGGATACATCGTAAAATTTACTGGACTGAACTGGGGTTGGTTGATTTTATGACATTTGTAGTTCACAATGTAGTTAAACATAAACTGGATTTTCTGTTTACTGCTTTCACTATCACAGACAATCAATTTCTATGTGTGGTTTACCCCGAAACATGAGACATTGTATGCTTTCATTTTTAACTAATGAATACAAAATACTGTATTTTACCTATTAATAGCGCATTTACATAAATGAATAGAATATGTTTATAGCTACACTTAGCTATATTTTATTGATCCAGTGTACATGGAATGTATTTTTGGATTGTTTCAATTGGCAATGCACTTCTAATAGAGCAAATATGGTATTGTATTTGTTTCCCTAAATTTGGCCTAAATTTTGAAGTGAGTGGATATTATATGTCCATTGTGTCCTAAATTCACAAAAAAATCATAGAAAAATACATAATTTCATTAATTTTCAACTAAATAAGACATAATTTAGCTATAATTCTTGGTTGCAGTTTTTGAAAGACAAATACAAAAAAAATGCATTTTCATTTTGTGAAAGGTGGGAAAATTGGACTGCTGTTTTCAAAATTGGCATTTAAAAGGCAGTTTCCGACATGCCGCGTCATATTCAATATAGAACTCATAGCAACGTACACAACACGTCTAAAATTCATTGTTTGCTTACATGTACATGAAATTCGAACATGCGCTGCCACGACAACCAACATCATTTAAAGTTGGTGATCAATTCTACATGTATTCATATTATAATGTTTCAGTAACAGTCGCATCTCACGTAGCGATCTGGATGGAACAAATAGAGAAGTGATCATATCCCATAATATTAGTAAACCAAGAGGGATTGCTGTATTTCCACAATTGGAGTAAGTAAATAACAATTTCTCATTTTACACTCACTTGAGTTCTCATTAAATTTCACAAGTATTTTATTTTGTGCTTTCACATCAGCCAACTTGAAACATTTCAAGAATGTATTACAGCTCGCCACTACGACAAATTAGGTATAAACATGAACCTGCAACAAAACTTGTGAGGAGATACATATGTTTTATTGAGTAATCGCTGCATGAATGAGTCAATTATAGCTTCTCCCATCTAAAAATTTATACTAGGTGCAATGCTAGGTGAGGTGGTATATTTGTTGGTGCTTGTTTTTTGTTTCTGTTATGCTTAGCAGTTTATCTCTATCACTCTGTCAGTTTACCTCTTGTTAATTTGTATTGTTTCATGAAGTGTCCTATTCCCAAATTGAGTCTGATGTGTTGAAAACATTGAATCTTTCTTTCACAAAACCATGATTTGTTATCAAGTGTCTTCAGTACAAGAGCTTACACATCATAAGCACATTTAATTGATGATTCATCAGAGTTTGAAATTTTGAAAAAAATTAAAAATTGAATACATGTATTTGATAATTTGATAAGTGTGATGTGTTGACTCAGGAACACACGAAACATCAAAGAAACCAGAGATATTTTCAAATTTAACTTCTTGTTTATTCCGCCATTTTCAGTTCCACCAATGGCACTACTTTTAACCTATAATACACTCGAGTGATCAGGTGACATATAACACCATTACAAAATTATGTATTCTTATGCATGCAATAAAGTAATCCCAAAAACGTCACAATAAGCAATAATTACATATCTCAAAATAAACCAATTTATAGGTTATTCTATTGGACTGACTGGGGTGACCAAGCGAAGATAGAAGTTTCCAGTTTGGATGGTACACAGCGTAGCATCATAGCAACCTCAAATGTGACTTGGCCGAACGGAATAACAATAGATTACCATGGTAATAAAGTAATCTGGTGTGATGCCAAACATAATACAATAGAAGAAGCTAACCTAGATGGGAGTGAGCGGCGTATCGTCACAGACTTTGAAATTACGCATCCTTTTGCCATCACGCAGTTTAACCAGCATATCTGGTATACTGATTGGGCACGCCCAGAAAATGTGATTTTTCGCGTTGATCAGAGTACTGGTTTGAGTAGAGTGCGCCTACAGGGTAGTATGTCACAACCATCTGGATTGCAGATTATACATCCTACAGTGAAGAAACCAACAAATATAGGTACACTCATTTACCTGAACTTGTTTTAAATATTTCTTGAAGGAGAACTGCTCAATCCCATGGATTGCACCACATGCTCATGGGTGATTGACAGGCATATTGCATACATTAGCCGCCATTTTAAACTTTTTAGCTCCGCTGTTGACTCTGTCGAGTGGAGCTTATCATATGAGTGATAGTCCGTCGTTGTCTGGCGTCCGTATTCGTCATTGTGAAAATGTTATACTTTTTCAAGTTCTTCTTTAAAACTACAAGTCTGAATGCTTTGATATTTGGTGTATAAGTACATGTACCTTGGGTAGACCTCTCTTAGATTTGTTCATTTCAAAATGATATCTTCAATTCTCTAATTTTGGTTAATATTTTTGTCATTTTGGGTAAAAAGTTATATTTTTGACTTCATGTTAAAAACTGTAAGTCCGATTGCTTTGATATTGCATATACCGTATAGGTACTACATGTTGACCTTGCTCAGATTTTTTCATTTGATGATTATTTTTGTCTTTTTTGGTAAAAAGTAATATTTTCGAATTCTTGTTGAAAACAGTCTGATTGCTTTGATAATATACATATTGTTCCTTTTCTAATGATATCTTCAGTTCTTTAATTGAAATGTGCATTGCTAACAGCAGAGCTATCTCAGCCGACAGGCTGTTTGTTTTACATGTTGTGGCACGTTTTGACTGAAAACAACAACATTTATACATCAAAAGCCCAACCAGATGGGTTTAATAGCTAGTGTACATATTCATGCCCCCATAAAAATGTATTTGGAATCACAGCTTGATCTCTAAACATCGTAAATGAATTCCTGGAGCTCCTGCCATGATGTGAGCAGCTTGGTTTGGATTAGCATACTAATTGAGGCAGCCATCTTGCCCCTATTTATAGATTTGATTCCCCTTTAAGGTTGCATTAATTCTTTACAAATTATCACTCTAAAAGCATAAAATATGTAGAAATAATGTTGATTTTTTGAAAATTATCAATATTAAAGGACAATATCCTGCCCGACATTTAAACACATTTCTTTTTGAGAGTAGTGGATGGTATTATTTATATAAACTGACTTTCAAAAACAAACAAAGCAAAGAACTATTGTTCACAAATCTGACTTAATTTTAAGAGGCATTCATTTGTGTTCTGCAGTTAATCTCTCGTTACTAATCCACAATCTCAACATTGAATCCTGTATAGTGTAAAACCCTTTATTTTCACAGACATTTAAATTCACTGTTTTGATGTTTTCAGCATATTCACTGGGTTTGAAGTTCACAAATTTACCAGTGAAAAAATGGGTTCTACTGTCATTTTATTTTTACATTTAAATAGCAGATTTTAGTTATCAGCAAAAAAAACGAAATTAAAACTCAGTGAATAATTAAGGCATTTACAGTGTATTATTCAGGAGGTGGTACCTCACAGATATGCAAGTGTGAATGCAACTTTAAAATTTTAGCAATTGTCATTGATGCACAAAGTTTGCATAAATAGTTCACTATGAATCCAGTTCTTCTAAATCCAACCATATTGGCTCATATAAACTTTTTTTATAGAGCAGATTTGATAGTCTTTGTCTTCTCCATGTACGAGAAGATACTTTAGGAGACATTTACATGACTACTCCTTAGAAGGTTTATTCATTTATTTCACAGCTGATATCAATCTGTGTTCTATCTTAAACGGGAGATGCGACCATCTTTGTTACCATGATAGCATTAATAAGGCCATTTGTGCTTGTCGCCAGGGTTACCGTCTCCAAGAAGATATGAGATCTTGTCAGATAGGTAAGAGGAAATAAATTTACTAATAACTGCTTTCTCTTTTCTTAGGATTTCTTGCGTATTTGTTGTCATTCATAGTTTTATTTAAGATTGGTTTATGAATTGGTCCAAGTTGACTAAAATGGCGCAGTCTAATTAAAATAAAATCTTTGTTGGACTATCTATGAATAGCATTTTCTTTTTTTTTTGTTTAAAATTTCTTTTTTATTATTTTAAAATTATTCTTCTGGCAGGGATAGTTTTTACCAAATTATTATAAAAATCTATGCCAGAAAATTAAACTATAAAAAAAAGTGATTTAAATTAAATATTAAATATGATTTTAAAAAAATATTTAAAAAATGTTAGATAACCTAAACAATGATCTAACTTAAATCAGTTTGATAATGCAGTAACATGCTAGTGGTGTTTTCAAAAAATGGAGAGAAAATAGTAAATAGCCCAAATAAAAATCACATTTTCAGATTGATAATGCCATATCATATGGGTGACGTTTTTACATTTTTATGTACAGATGAATGTTTAGCTGGTATAGCCGAGTGTGACGTCAATGCTATTTGCATAGACACGCCTACAAGCTATCAGTGCCATTGTAAATCAGAATACATCGGTGATGGTTTCTCATGCTCTCGAGGTAAGTGTAAGAAAAGTTATAAAATATTTTTTTTGAAAATTAAATTACTGTTTAAGAAACATTCCGTCCAAACTGTGGATTGTTTCATTTCAATTGCTGTCAGATTGTGATACACTGCTGATTATTTTCTATTCCCTCCAACAAATATTCGTGATTAGTTTTCATAAGTTAATTTATTCTTGGCCAGAATTTAAAAACAATCGAGCAGATGGTGGAAATAGCTCTGCTGTCCAACAAAAACATTGCGGTAACCAAGTCAAGTAATACACACCCATATAACAAAATGTGGTTAACCCACGAAAAGTAATTTGGTTCTAGCTGTTAAGAACATGCCAACAGATTGTTCACAAAAGTAATGTACACCTCAAATATCAAAGCAGTCAGGTTGGTAGTTTTCAAGAAAAATTTGAAAATATTATTTTGTATCAAAGAATTAATGATTAAAAGGGAACATGCATTCTTTTTTGAAATTTTATGGGATCATTTAACCTAACAGAATACTGCCAAATTTATTTTGAGTTATTTCGGGAACCGAGTCAACACATGCCGAAACGTGTATGTGAACGGTCGGCACATGCCAAAAAAAACTCAATCTCAGTCCCAATAGATGCTCAGGCCGAAACTCAGCACATACAGATTTGCTGCCTCAACACTCGGTACGAGCCGAAATCACACCCTCAGTGGTGAATTTAAGAGAACATATACTGATTCATACTAGTATGACATGACAATGGAGGGAAGTGAGCTATATATGGTAGGATGCTGTAGTAATGAATTAAATGAATGCAGAACGTTGTCAGTGATGCATATTATGTGCTGCTGTAACCGTTTTTTTTTTTTTGGCAATGCTACATGGATGTGAACAAATAATTTTTTTTTAATCTTCTTTGGCGTTCATGTGCACGATGACTCATAATAAATACCATAAAAGCAAATAGATATAATTTCAATATAGCAATTTTTATTAGCATCTTATGCATATCGTTTTCTATGTTTGGGTCAAATAATAGATCATAAAATGATTTCAGCATGAGCCGAGTCAGTTTCGAGTGGGTCCCGACTAATGTGAACACAACTGCTGTAATCCTTCTGCTAACATAAACGATTAAAAATTTCAGCATGTGCCGAGCCGAGCTACATGAACGTAGCATATGTAGCACACAAGTAAATAGAGATTCTAACTTGATAAGTGATAAGACTTGATAAACAATTGTTGAAACATACTGCAGATAATCCTTAAAATTATATGTGCAAGTTTTGAATGATAGTAAGTTTCGGTGAAATTGAATAAGGTGCTGCAGGTTAGTGCAGTGAATAAAGAAAGTTTGTCATCGTTAATCATGCATAAAAAATGTTTTCTGGTTTAGTTGTAGAAGAGGCGCTACCCACGGCAACAGGAGCATTAAGTGATGATCATCATACTGCCTGCGGAGCCGACCATGATGCATATTGCTACAATGGCGGTACATGTTCGTACTCTGAAGTAACAAACCAATACAAGTGTCAGTAAGTACATTTGTAATATTCCTCAAATTTATTATAATACTGCCCTCTACCATTAACCCGCTGAGCGTCATTTTTTTCGTACCAATATTTTGGTGCACCATTTTGCGTATTTTTAAGAATTTCTCAATAATTATTTTGACAATTTTGGACCAAATCAAGTTCAAATTGACAATAGTTTTTCATCGACTGCAGATCTTGATAAAAATGTTGCAAATATGGATAAATTGATTATTATGAGTTTTATTTTGTGAAACGCGACAAACGTTCACTTTGGGGTTCAAAGAGTTAAAAATGCAATGATGTTAAGTTAAGCTGATGTGAAATCTGATTGAAATTTGAAGAAAATAGAGGCTCTATTAATATTCTACAATGAATGGTTCCATTATTGTTAATCTGTTTATGGATGGTTGTTTTCTACATTACGTGAACTACGCACTATACACAAAATTATTCGAAATATTAACATTTCTTGTGACTGGGGCTCAGGACCATAACAATATTTTGTCGTCCCCAAAACCTTTCTAATTATAACCAAACACGACACATATGATATTGGTTTGAATTTACTTGCTTGGCTGTAAATATACAACTGACTTTTAGCAGATCAACAGCCAATCAGCACTCATGTTACAGACAGCAACCAATCAGCACTCATGTTACAGACAGTTTTCTAGTTAACAAATCTCGTCAGATAGGAGCTGCCTGATTGCAATTTGCAGTGATCAAATGTAGCGCAGACAATATACCTTTGCAAATAACAGAGCTATCAATTTGAATTCCTGTGCTTTTTTGTATATTTGCATATCTACATGTAGCATTGTACTGCCCTCAGAGTCAGATTTTGCAGATTCACTCATTCTTAGCTCCGCTATTGACTTTGTCGAGTGAAGCTAATCATACGAGCGATTGTCCGCCGTCATCAATCGGCGATGACGTCGTCTGCATCAACTTTTTACTTGTTCTTGAAAAGTACCAGCCTGATTGCTTTGATACTTGGTGTATATGTACCTTGGGTAGACCTTACTTAGATTTGCTCATTTCATGTAGATAACTTAAATTCTCTAATTTTGGTGAATATTTTTGTAATTTTTGACTTCATGTTGAAAACAGCAAGGCTGATTGCTTTTATATTATACATGTATACATGTAGTTACTTCAGGTGGACCTCTCAATTTTTTAATTTTGATAAATATTTTTGTAATTTTTGGATGGACCTCTCTCAGATTTTTTCATTTCGTGATGATATATTCAAGTTGTTTGTTGTCATTTTGGGTAAAAAGTTATATTTTCAACTTCTTGTTGAAAAACGCAAGTCCAATTGCTTTGATACTATACATATAGGTACCTCAGGTAGATGTCTCTCAGATTTGTTCATTTTGTGATATATCTTCAATTCTTTAAGTGAAATGTGTATTGCTAACAGCAGAGCTAACACGGCCGAGAGGCTGCTTGTTTCTGATTGTGTCCATTAAAGATTCTGATTTTTGGGAAGATTTTAAAAAATGTGTATTATCTTTCTAAATTTAGCCCGGAAAACATAAGGGTGATAATACTTAATTGTTATTGAATTTGTTTCAGGTGCATGTCTGGTTTTCTTGGCATACGTTGTCAGTTAGACACACAGATGTTTGATTCGGTCAAAGGAAGAGAAAAGTTTCATAAAACGTTGTACATTTCACTTGGGGTTGCATTACCAGTTGTGATAGCTAGCATTGTCATAACTATAGTCTGCTGTGTTAAAAGGTAAGAAATATGCTAATATTTGGGACAGTAGTCATGGGTTTAACAAATGTATTTAATAGCAGACCATCATCCTGTAATAACTGTATGTAGCGTTACAGCAAGACCAGCATAGACGATCGGGGGACCAGAAAGTTGACTGCCAATTTAGGCTTGGCGGTGGTCGGCTTTTAACGAAACCCC